AGCTGAAGATATCCCCTTGCTACACAGTCTCCTTCAAGATGTATTCCCAGTGAGTTGCTTACAGGAGGGCAGAAATGGCCGCCCTTAGGAAAGAGATAGCAGCAGTTTGTAAAGACTCTCACCTTGTCTTTGAGGAAGGAGAGCAAGCCTCTTCTCAGTGGGTTGATAAGGTGGGTGTGGTTATGCTTCTAATTAAAGAGCACCTGGTCCTGTGATGAGTTTTAGATGACGAGCCATAAGTTGTAAAACCGGTCAAACCGGTTTTGGTATTTGATGAATAACGAGGCATTTGTCTGAGGACTACATGTACTTGTACATTTATAAAAAGTTGTACATGAATGACATGTACTATAGCTTTAGTAGTTATTATTATTTTTAAATTTTAACAGGTGCTGCAGTTATACCAGATCCAGTTGTTGGCCCATGGTGTGATGATGGTTGGCCCCAGTGGAAGTGGAAAGTCCTCAGCCTGGAAGGTTCTCCTGAAGGCGCTTGAGAAGCTAGAAGGTGTTGAGGGCGTGGCTCATGTCATAGATCCCAAGGCAATATCAAAGGAAGATCTTTACGGAGTCCTTGATCCTAACACAAGGGAATGGACTGATGGACTCTTCACTCACATACTCAGAAAGTAAGGAATACATGTAAGAAAGAGAGGAAGAGAGAAAGCTAGGGTTTAGAATAATAACTAAATACTACACATGTATTCTATATAAATCTACAGTATTTATCACTAGTCAATTTTTCATGTACATGTATATGGTATTATATCTTGACTCATGTTGTGTATTACAGACATTAAAATACACTGAGAATGATGCTTTCTAGTAAATGTTATTTTTTATCTTTTTTTGCGACTCAAAGTTACAGCTGGTCTTGTGTTAGTGTCCAGTTGTCGTTCCCGTCGCATACACCAATAATTATTAATTAATTAATGTGTCTTCTATCCAGTGACAAGTGCCATTGAATGATGTTACTGGACGCTTGGACACACACACACGTCACATGACTATCACATGATCTATTATTATTGATTATTAATTAATTATTTATTTATTTATTCATTATTTATTTATTTGCATTTTTTAATTTTTATTTATTTATTTATTTATTTATTAATTGATTGTGTATTAATTATTTATTTATTAATAGGATTATTGATAATGTTCGTGGTGAGATTAACAAGAGACAGTGGATCATTTTTGACGGAGATGTCGATCCTGAGTGGGTGGAGAATTTAAACTCTGTACTGGACGATAACAAGTTACTAACACTGCCTAATGGAGAGAGACTCAGTATACCACCCAATGTATGTCAGGATATTATTAGTATACTCTCGCTTTCAATATAGTACAGGGACTTTGACCCAATTTTTGAGTAACTTTAAAAATTCATATAAAATCCAAATTTGATCGGAATCAGCTGAAACTTTCTACACAACATAAGAACATGTATATGTATCAGGAAATGCTATAAAAATTGAGAATTCTCTACTTGACATTTTTGGCAAAATTTGGCTGACATCCCTGTACTATAGTACAGGGACTTTGACCTGATTTTAGAGCAATTTAAAAAATTCGTATAAAATCCAAATTTGATCGGAATCAGCTCAAACTTTCTACACAACATAAGAACATGTATATGCATCAGAAAATATTATAGAAATTGAGAATTCTCAACTTGACATTTTTGGCAAAATTTGGCCGACGCCTCTGTACTATAGTACAGGGGCCCTGCCAAATTTCACCAAAAATGACTTAGATCAGAGCACCTGTAATTTTTAATATTGTGTTATTGTGTTTAGTATATTATTAGTAAATCTCTGTATACTCTCTAGGTCCGCATAATGTTTGAAGTTCAGGATCTCAAGTTTGCTACCCT